CCAGGACAGGGTCCGGTGGAGGGCTTTGGTTAATTCGGTGATGAACCTTCGGGTTCGGTAAGCCATCTAGTTAGTTAGTTAGGTACTGATGTTGAGTTTTGTACAACAGTTATGAAGTTATTCCATTCTAGGTATAGGAATTACAAATAAAATTATATATACCGGTATTGTATTCAGGTACAATTCACTGATCTTCAGTTTATGGAATTAAAGATCAGATACAAATTTAGGCGTAGTGAGTCCTTCAAGAGAGGGATATGTCCGAGCAGGTGCGGAAAGTTTCCTGTGGGCCGCAGCCCAAAGCACCCGTGCCATCCTCACAAATGCCCCAAGAGTTTCCTAGAAACATAAAGTAACGCAGTTTAGGGTTCATAACCTATTTATTGCAGCTGTTTCTAGCAACCCCAGAAAACTATTACGTCAGTAGAATTGTTCAACGATACAACGCATAGACGTTATTGTGATATCCTAATATGTTCACAGTCTTTTCTTGTCATGCAGAACAAGATGAAGAAATAATGGTGACAGTTTCCGTTATGTCGAACAATTAGCAGAAGTCAAAAGCAGAGTTTTGATAATGCTCAGGTAAAACAGCTAACATGTACTAACAATTCTGGATTAATTTCTGCAATTTCTTTTCATATGAAAATACATCATTTGAGACACATTTATATTGACAGACGGAGGAATAGGAATGCATATATTAAGAATAACTTATTTTGACATGATAGCAATTACGCGATTGACCAAACTTCCTAAATATATAAGTTAATTGTAATTCCTGCGATAGACTTGTACTATCTCATACATAAGGACATGTCCTACTATGTATTTCACGCTACCAACCTGTTACGTATGTCCACTGAAGGACGCATTGCTCACACTTGACGTCAGGTAGGACTAAATCGATTTCAATTTCTCCAGTAATCTTGCCGGGTATTTTGTAGGAAGTGCTGCCATCTTTCAGGCGCAGCGGATACTTTTCGAAGCAATCTTCTGTCTCGAGATCTTTTTTGGATGCCAGTGGGCAAAGCCGGAACTCAACGTGGCCTGCATGATTTGCTGTTAGTTTCGTCGTAGTTTTTATGATGGAGCCAGCTCGATACCTGAAGCGTTAAACAGATTAAATGTTTTGACAACGTAATCAAGAAATCTCAGTATAAGAAGGTGCCATATTTCCTCCTGAAATCATATACACATATTCCCCTTTTCATATGCATTTTGATGCCAAACACACACGATATAGTCAAATGACATAGAGTGTATGCATTTTGATGCCAAACACACACGAGATAGTCAAATGACAAAGAGTTGGAGACGGGTAACCGAGATGTGATTAGAATCAGGTATCAATCAGTCTTGTATATCAGTCTCAGTAATTAATTATTCTGATTTACAGTTCTGGAATAAACTACTACCAGTAGCTTGACACCGCTTGATTTCCGTTGATCATGTACAAATCTGAATTTCTTGGCAAGCTTCCACTTAAACAGAGTGCGTATGAAACATTTTACGCACATGAAGTAGGTAAACTGAGTGTCTGGTGATAACGTACACCATTGTCAAACTGTGAATAAAATCATTCATAAAGTGCATTTCGCTGTTGAGAAAGTTCTCCTTCGCCATTAGATTACAGCGGTCTATCATGTTTATACACAACCTATATCAGTGATTGTCATAATTATAAACTCCAAGGAAAGAAGCTGAATAATAGTAGCCAAATATACAAGAATTAGTTTGTCAATAAACCAGCGAGAATACATTTTCTCATACAGCTACTCTACTATTCTAACGGGAAGCGGGATCCAAAGTTGGTGGGTTATTCAACGAGAGAGACAACCAGTTTATCAACAGGTACCATCTCTGTCACTTAATCGATAAACCACTTGTTTAGTTTTTCAGTCAGTCAGACCGCCAGCGAGATAGCTAGACAATGAGGAGTATTTTTCCACTACCAACGGCTTGACTGTGCATGATGAGGAACCAGTGTAGCTGGAGTACCATCACCAGCCTCAGACACGTTTCCGGTCTTCATGTTCTGTCTCTGCGAGTCCTCTTTCCGCCCGATTTCGTCCGTCACATTAATTCCCCCCTCTGCGGATTCAGACCCTGAATAGGACTATGAAGAAAGGCTCACTATACTACTACAGAATTAGAGCACTTATTCCGTACATCTTCCACGCTACGCGCCCGTCTACATCCCTTGACCAGGCCAGCCAACATTTACTACAGAAGAAGCCAACAATTTTTCTCCTTTTCTGACATTTCAATTTCCGTAGCGGCTAGATTCTTCAATGTTCTATGACTTTGAACGAACTATAATCAGACACCTCCTATGCGTCTGTGTTCAGCAACCGATATTCTGACCACTTTGACTCATTTGCATCGTCTCATAAAAATGGATTTGAGTAGCACACGTCTTAAAGTTCCGGCTTTGGTATTCGCAAAGATGGCATCTGTATTGGAGGGCCTCAGATGAACAGTTCGTCGTTACCTGCAACATACCGCTATGGCCCCCGGATAACAGTGTCCTTTGGTTTGTTAAAGACTCATGCGGTTTTCATCAATCCTTAAAAAAGCGGTATATTGAGTGGTTTCGAACGAAGTTAGACAGAGGTCATGACCTCATTGCTCGCTGGCTGCCATCCGACCAGAATCTGGTGGACTCCGTTCCCACGATCACATCGGGCCCATCAGGTACGGCCTGGTAGTATAAAATACAGGCAGTCCAGAGAATCAGAATGTCGGATTTTATGAATCCTGGAGCAGAAACGACAACAGACAACTGGCTAGTCATCCACCCATCTAGCTAATCATACAGACAACAAATCAGTCAGTCTTCCAGCTGAATAGTCATTCTATCAGTTAGCAAAGTACAAACCAGTCAGCTAGCTTCTCTGTCTGTTAGAGCATCGATCACCTAGCCAATCAATCAGTAAACCAGACAGCTAGAATAGTCAACCAGTTAATTATCTACTCGGTCAGTCAACAGTCAGCAATCTAGCCAGCCAGCTGATCATCCAGCCAGGCAGATTTTCGTATAGTCAACTAACAATGAAAGTCAGTGAATTACTCAGCCAGTCTGTAGGTACCCAATCTGGAGATAGCCATTTCGTGTGTGGCAGTCACTGAGGTGATGTTCCAGTCAACGAGGCGCTCAGCAGCTAGTGAAGACTTACTGTGCCACAACAACACCCGTGCCAAAAGTTCCGCCATTTTCGTTAGGTCTAGGTAGCTTCAATGAATAGTTGTCGCCACACAACCCGCACTTGCCACCGTTCTGGTCCCACTGGACCTGAAACCAAACAACATCTTAGGTCGCTGCACTCACTGTCTCTCTTCCTGCTCCAACGCGAGCAAAACTATCTCTATCTGTTCTCTTCAACTTCCAAGTATTCGAAGCAGTGTAATGAAATTTATATAGGCCAAATCATATTACTTTAGGTAGTCTTTTTACAAAATACGCCACCAGTTTTGATGTTTTAAATACCTTCATTTGTTTTATGTAGTGTATTTTCCAGTTCTTTAAAAAAATATATATAAACTAATTTTCGCACCCGAATCTTCACTCAATAACTAAAAAAATATTTTGTAATTAAATGAATCTCGTTCTCTGAGTATTCCACAAATTATGTTATACTTATGTAAGATCTGAGGTTTTCACAGCGGTGAGTATGAAGATTTCTGTCTTCTGGATTGTTGCGCTGTGTAGTCTGGTCGATGTTTACCAACGTTTCAGAGGTCATACTGCCTCCGTCATCAGGGCGATATCTACCAGACTACACGGCGCAACAACCCAGAAGACAGAAATCTTCATGTTATTCTTAGTCTTTAAAATTTCAGAGTTTATTATTCTTGGTGTAGAAAGATGCATTCAAATCAAGGCGTTTCGTAAGCTGGTTCTACTTTCGTATTTAGGATAAAACCCTTTGTTTTGGCCCCGTTGGTAAAGCTAGTCTCAGCTCTCGGAAGAGTTTTGTGGTATAGATAACTTCCCCCTTCCATCAGCTTCTGCTCCTGCCTCCCTAACACCCCAATTTCTCGCCGTCTACAAGCTTCTGTGTTACACTTATATTATATAAACTGTAAAATATCAAACCTCCTTAATCTCAAATACAAAACTGAAACAAAGAAATTGCTAACAGGCCATTCCCCCCGGTAGGAGCGTAAAGTAAACTACGACACAAGTTTATAAACGGACGTAGAGCTCTACGCTTGCAGCCGACTGCTTGATTTTAAAACGTTTGTTCTTCTAACACTTTATATTTGCTTCCAGTTGTAAAAGTAGCATCATGAGAATATTTACATGTACACATTTTACAGTATATTGAATCATACCACAAGCCAGCATTTTTCTTTTTGTTGCAATAATTTATCACTCAAACATTCAAAATAATTGAGAACATCATTTGCAATCTAAATATTTTTAAATAAAAATTAGAATCTTTTTTCCGTTCTGAGAGACTTTTTTCCCTTGAGATTAATGCCGGTTCGTATTACAAAACACCACACACCACAGGACTACATAATATCAAACAGACCAACTTAAGACTTACCGAGCGACCACCACAGAAGAGTTGATTGTCTTCATAATTTGCTGGTGTGTTGAAGCCGTAGCGCCACATGGAACTACGGTTAACAGGGTCTATCAACATGCCGTGCTCATGGGAACCCAAAACCATGATCAACAGCAACAGAGCAACGCTTAACAAAGCCATAGCGGTAACAGATTCCCTTAATGTTTTCTTGAATGTCTTTATCACTAAGCGTCTTCTTTATATACCCACAATATTTGCACATGATACCAAAATATCTCGATAAACCCACATTTAAACTTGATCCACAGATAATATTATCTATCAAACGTCATAAATTCAACCGGAATCCACCTTTAAGAGATTAGCAAAAGCTTTTATATCAGTGTTTCTTCCTACACTATAGTATACGCCATTGTTAAGTTCGAAAAAAACAAGAATTGTAAACAACGCGCTGTTATTAACTATCTCGTAAACGCGTTCTTAGAAAACTTAATATCCGCCACTGATAATTTCAGGTAATTGAATGGAACTGAAGCCATGTACTGACAAGTAGTCTTGATTAAATCCAGGATTGTTAGAGTTTGTTCATTTTGTTGAAGACTGACTTTTTCTCCAGCACAGTAGGCACTGAGTATAGGTTTATATGTATATGCTGAAACAGACTGACATCTTTAGGCAAACAAAAATATGTGCCCATCTCAGATTATTTGTAATTGTAGGTGTTGTTCCAGGCCATCAGCTGGAATTGCATTGGAACACAAGATTTTAAATTATTTTGTTAGCAATGTGATTGCTCTTATAACATTATTAATAAATTACTAGCAAATTAAACTACTTTGTGTTTATTATACTATGCAGATAAGTGTATATAAAGATTTCACCAGAAAGAAACGTCAAATGTCCTTTACATATTATTATTTTATGACCTTATTATTTATAGACAGATTTTGTCCTCGTTAAATTCGTCGGATATAACATCAAAATTTTTCGCACTGTCGCCATGTTTGTAATTGTTCACTCTATGCTTAATTTATAGGTATGCTTACGAATTATTTTCATGTCAAAATTCGCATGTTGTCTGATTCCATTGGTTCATTATTTATTGCCGTTAAACTATATAATAAAATAACATTTTGCACGGCCGCCCTTTTAAAAAGTTACCTAAAGATAATGCGATTATTTTTAATGATACATTAGCACACATCGTTTCGTAAATAAGCTCACCTTCGTGTACATCGTGCAAATAACGGATACTGGAGTACGGTTGCCATTTTTGGACATGTCGATTTACTTTATAACTTAGAAGCAACATGCCTTTTACACAAGATATTTTAAAATCCACGACGGGGCTTCCCGAGAGAATTCTTTAGTATTATAATACAAAAAACAAACATAAACGAGTCCTTTCAAATTATAATAAATTAAAATATTCGTCGTAACAGTATCTAGTATTACTAGATCTCTAACGCTGCAAACACAGAATATAGTCAAGCATGGGGAGAACGCTAATGGTCACTAATATTTTATCTTATTAATTCTATGTTTCCAGTATTAAACTTATAATCAGCCTCGTATTTTAGACTCATTTTAATTTATCTTAGCCACCCAGGAGAATGGCTGGTTAAGAAGCGCAATGTTTAATCTAAAAGTTAATATAAAGTTCGTTAAAACTGAAGTCTGTTTTGTTTTAATATTAATTATTCAGAAACACTACTATCACCGCTTTAAAGGTTTTAGTTGTTTTCAAATAAGGAATCAACGAACTTAATTCCATTTTTCGGTACCAACATTTTAACAGCTACTTTAAAACTATATCTGCTGAGTGTTTCATTTTCCCTTTTATAGCCACCGATATTAGTTTTGTTATGTTACCACTCTGGAAGGGGTACTCTTCCTTCCAGTGTGCAATGCCGTTTATTGTTACTACAGATTGTACGATTATTTTGTCATAGGTACGTATTTTACTTACAGACATGAAGAGAAATTTTATGTCACAACAAGTCCTGTCTGTAACGACGTGTTTATGACTTCTTGCTAGAGAATTTCTACTTGTAAAAGGTGAAATTTACTACTAATATATATGAGATACTTCCTGAAGGTTAAAGCAATTTATCGTTATTTCAGGAAGTATGTTGAAAAGTTTATTGGTTTTCTAAATTATTTCGTAGATACTACTTTCCCATTTCTGTCTCACCCTAGGCCTATGTGTGTATTTGCGTTTTCAGAGGAAACGTATGTGTGTATTACTATGAAATATTATTTCTATTGCTAAAATAATTCGTTTCAAAACACAGAAAATTCTTTTGTTCCAGTACCTCACAAACCAACAGTGCATTACGTAACACCGGACGTTTAACACGAGTTGATTAAAAGTAGTGATGTAAGTTAAAATATTTCGTTGAACGTTGAACGTTGAAATGTTATCCTAAAGAACAAGCAAGTTTGCGGTGAAAATCATTAATTAAAATTCCGGATAATATCAAACTTATCTACAAGCAAGTTTGCGGTGAAAATCATTATATAAATTCCGGCTAATATCAAACTTATCATCATCCTGGAGTCTATACTTATCTGCCTAGAATAATATAATTTATTTCACAAATTAATGCAAAGGCTAATGGTGGTGACTACACGGTCTAAGGCAAAGGAAGTACTGGACAAATATTAAAACATTATTTGTTTTGATTTTCTGCTTACCCGCTAATTTTTTTACAGCATTGCGTATAGGGCAACATATTTATTTTATTACCTAATGATAGATCGGTCACATTGACCAGTGGTAATGGAGTATTCAATCACATATTTTTTTATCGTGCTTGGAGCAAGGATGCATTACTGAGCTTTTCTTATGAACGCGGGAGCATGAGACAGACAGCCGTGTTGAAATGGCAGTTCGATACCATGTACAAACAATTCTGAGTCGATAAATGGATTATTTTCACTACAAATTTAATTTGCTGTTCGTAGTTTCACGCGCACTGGAGAATAGTTCATGGTACAGACCAAATAGATTCACAAAATTATGGCGGTAAGTATTGTGATTAGCAGATAAAGGTCCACAAAGAAGACGAGTATAAACAATAAAAATACACACAAATATCCAGACTCTTCACAGGGCTTCTAACCTGCTGTCATACTATTGCAAAGCTAGCAAGAATCAAGCTGACAATTTATTTACACAACCAATAAACCAACCACTTAATCGTTATCATCCGTTACTGGCTTGGCATGGATAAAGTCATAAATTACATTAAGCTTATAAAATATGGCAAAAATGAAATGGGTTATGTTAATGGATTAAATGCATTCCTGTCATGTACTGTTTGCTGGACTTTGACAAGAAAAAATCCAGAGTAGAAGTTCGTTGTCTTAATTTAATCATTATTAAGAGCAGATATATAGAAATAAAAGTAGATATTGATATGAGAAAAAATATAATGGCATGTAAGAAATTTGAACACTCAGGAAGGGTGACAATTTTCGCTATAGAAAGAACTAACCGAGTTATTCCATAACCACTCTTGGGAAGCTAATACGTACTCGCCCAACTAATAAAGAAATATTTCATCTTGCATGGAAACCGAAGGTTTATTATCGTGTTCACATGAGCCTGCGTCTGGTTCCTATTTTTGGCAGGTGAACTCCCAAATGCAGGAAACATCCTCACATTATTTATTTAAAATTAATTTTAATATTATAATATATTCTTTGTCTAAGCCTCCCAAATGGTATCTTGCCTTCAGGGTTTATGACTAACATGCTGTGCTCATTTTTCATCTTTCTCATACATTTCCCTCTCACCCTTCCTTAGTGGTTTGATCACCATAAATAATAGGTGGTGACAAGTACAAATTATGAAGTTCTTCAGTCACATATTATACCTCGACACTTCCCTTGTCGAGCCTCCTCAATTTGTGTTATTCTCCGAAGATGACAAAACACATTTCACGTCCTTTTAAAACAGATCAATTAAGTTTTAACGTAATCATTTCAACAGCTATATCCTTGGAAATGTTATAGATCGAATGAAATCTTGAGAAGATACATTTCTTCGACAATTAGTGGTAAGTATCTTTATTGTATAAAGTAACACATTTCGTAAAATCTATGTAGATTATGCACTTATCTTTAAACAATAATATTTTAATCAAGATCTTATTTCCGATAAAAAAATAAAGACAACAGGATGATGCAGAAGTAAGATAATTGAAATCACAGCTTACGTAATAACATTTAAGAAATATGTAGACGTGCAAACTGCAAGTTTTAGCTCAGAGAGACATAAAAGAAACATTACTGAGTATTCAGGTAAAAAATTAAAAAGGTTTAATAGATAATGAGTCGTCTAAAACTTAATTCGTAGTGTATTTTCCACGTGTTTATCTTTAATAATAAAAAGATATTTGTGAGATGAGATATTGTTAAAGATGACGCCACAGAATAAAAGAGTATAAATCAACAATATGGTTCTACAACTGAAAATAATAGAAACAAATTCAAGGAAACGTCCACTCTGATTTGCGTTGGAAAATTTTGCGAGAATAATACTGGTAAGTTAAAACTGAAGACCTCGTACTGTCATTGCTCTATTCAATATGTAGGGTCTTCGGATTAGCACTACTTCATAATGAAAAACACACTTTAATGTTTGTAAATAACTTTTTTGGAGCACTGAAGTTGTCCATGGATGAAATCTTATCTTTAAACTTAGAATCGACTGAAATGCTCATATTAAGCAAATAAATAAATCATAATAGGCCTACAACCTCCAAGAAATTCAGTTCAATTCATTTATTAGTGTGCATGACAACAGACAAACAAGACCAATTACAGGCAGGCACAAAACAGCAGTCAGTAACTATGGTACAATACATAGATGACATATAAGATAGAATATTAAAACTAATCGAAAACAAATAATCAATACGAAACTCGAAAAAACTTACAAAATTTAATACCATAAAAAGTCAAGATATCTGTCCCTTATAAGCAAACGTAGGTCTTGTACGATATTATTATGAGCTTCAATACAGAGAGAGGTCTGAGAAGTGTGTGCAATTAAGTAGGTTCAGATTCAAAGGCGTAGTCGGGAGGAACCTCGTTCGAATCTCAACCGCGTTGGGGGCTGTTCCAAGATTTTTCTTAGCCTTATATCTTGAAATTAGTATCTGAAATAGTCCAAATCCTGATAT